GTGTAGAAGTTCCAATTGTTGAATGTCTTCAGTGAGCTTACCAATGCCTTCTTCCCTTTCCCGTTTGACCCTAGATCCCCGTTCCATAAAGAATCCCCTAATGGTGCACTTGTCGGGGCTGAGACCTCAGAAGTCGTGTTCTCAGTGACGTAGTCAGTCAGGGCATTGTGAAACAAGTGGATTGTCAAGCAGTGTCTCGTTCAGCCTCCAGTTAATTGTCTTGGGTTTGGAGAGCGAGGATGTCAAGCTCACAGAGAGTGGGGCATGGTCAGACCAAGTCGTCAGGCCGTAATCGGCCTTACATACTGTGTGGAGGTAGTAATTGGGAACGAAGAAATAGTCCAGTCAGGAGTATCTGGAATGGGGTATAGAATAGTGTGAATAATCTCTACCATCAGGGTGTAAATCCCTCCAACAGTCTGTTAATCGGTGTGTATGTAGGAGGTTCCTGACAGTCTGGAGTGTGTGTTCCAGTACTGTTGATGTTCCTGTGGAGGTGTCTAGTGGTGGGTTTAATGCTAGGTTGAGGTAGCCCCCTAAGATTAGCATGCCCTCTGTAAAGGTCATGAGATATTTCAGCGTGGCCTTCATGAACCTGCCTTGTTGTGAGTTGGATGCGTAGATATTGGCGAACGTGTATGTGTGGCCTAGAATCTCCCCTTTGATAAAGATATATCGACCATCTTGACACAAAATCGTAGCACGATGGTGAAAGGGAATGGACTTGTGGAGGAGGAAAGCAGTGCCCTTCGATTTGCCCTATGGGTTGTTCCCATTATAAATAACAGAAATAGATGGTGGGTGAAAAGAGTGATACCGGAAAGAAGTGCCGGCAAGCCTCTGTCTAAAGGTCACTCCTAACCTTTAATGAGCATAAAAACTGCAAAGATAAAATCAATACCAGATAGAAATACCAGAAAGAAGACCGTGAAGAAGACAGAAGCTCCTTCGGATCGACGAAACGCGCACAGCCCTACCTAAGAACCCTGCAATTTGGTATTAGCAGTCTTTTAAACATTTGCATTCTACACTTTTGAACTATGTGCTTGTGACTACGTGCTGTGAACGAGCAGTGGCTGTTAGCTGCCAGTCTAGCGGCAAATTGAGCACCTTACACTTTCCCTTACATGAGACTCTTTGTACTTTAGCACTTGCACTTTAATATAATCTCTTGTATGCCATATGAAGCTGCTATCCTGAAGGTTCGTTTTGCCTATTCTGGCTTATAATTGTGATTGTTGCACATGTACTGTGCTATTGCTTAATTATTCATGTTGATTTTAACTTGTCAATAAATTGTATGTCATATTTTCATTGATTGTTTCTTATTGTCTCTATTTTGTGAGAATATCTCATAGAAGTCGGCAACTAGAGTGACTGTGGCGCCCTGTTATCTGGTATAAATTTTATCTTTGCAGTCCTTTTTATGTTCCCGTAATAACCCATGGAGTAGATATGATTGGTCAGCCTCAGGGCCGAACCGGGTCTAAATGGGTTTCATGTATGTATACTATGAGGGCTTTTTGCAAGAAAAGGCAGAGGACTTGAGCAACTGCCTGCAGGGACCAACTGAAACAAAAGGAATCATGGAAAAGGAACGGGTGTGGCAACATAAAACAAACATTTAAAGGAATCCTGGAGACTGGGAATTCCAGGAACAGAATAAAGGAATGAATCTAGAAAACCTAGCATAAAGAAAACCAGACATAGAATACAAAACCAGAAAAACCAAGAAAAACTAAACAAGAATTGTAAAAAGAGTATTGGATACCAGAAGCCATAGCCAGAATGATTCGCAGCTAGGAACAGGATGTGACACCATATAGATGTGCCCATACTGAAGTCAGACTATAACTCTAGCCATATAAGGACAAGACCCTCAATCCACATTCCAGAGCTCTCATACAAGAAAGTCTTGTAGCTTATACCATCTGCTACTTATGCCAATCTAGACATCCATACATAATCAATAGAAACATAGAATATGCAATATTCTACCCCACCCTCTCTATTGCAAAGCATCATTAAAAACACCTGGGGGGAAGGATGTGGCAAGGTGTCAGCTGTTCGGTGAGCATCTGTCCGGATATAAATCTGCTGTGTAACAGGGAACTCTATCATGCTCCGGTGCCTCGGTCTAAGGGCTCATTGAACAGTCTAGCAATCCCAAAGCTAAAAGTAAGGAGCTACAGGGGTAGTTAGGTCATGGTGGCGGTTCCCATTATGGGCAACGTCTAGGAAGGTGGCACCACATAATAGATAAGTGAGCGTAGATCAAATTCAGAACCCATTTAAACGGTAAATAACATTTTGCAATATTAAAGCCATAAAAGAATTAATACAGGATACAGTCACATAAAAAACAGTAAGGTCAGAGTGCATGTAAGTACCATAAGTACAACCAGTGGAATAGAAATATTGATTTTAAAGCAAACACATATGTGACCATTTGGTTGAAATCATATATGATAATTGCAAATCTGGCTGAAATGTTGTTATAATATTAACTGAATTTTGTCAGTTCGGGAACAAATTTGCACTATAGTGATTGCACTGCATATGTTGAATACACGTGTACACTGAGTTTGACCAGGAGAACCGTATCCCAACCTTCCAGTCTTAAGAAAGTGATAGTTTTAATATGTTATCCTCTGGATCTGCAATCATTGTTACAACGAGAGATATCTCTATGTATTGAGTTCTGATAAGTGTGTGCAAAGTTGTATAACGGAGTAATCTCTAATGGAATCGGCCTGTTGATTCCCCTGTTTTCTATGGTGATTGCCCTACTTTTAGAACGTCATACTGCTTTTAAAATTCCAACAATGAATAAAAATCTCCCCCAATGAGAGAGACCAACAATCGCATGAAATGTTTAGGTGACATTATAGTAGGTCACAAGCATACATGAGGGAATGTACATTAACATTTGCCCTACTAATGAATGAATAATCATTTATAGTTAAATAAACGTTGATAAATCATGTTTGTGATATTTATTTTTTTATTGATGTTGATATTCTATGAGAACTAAAAGTTTCACAAATGTTTTTTTACCATTGTGGTATTCCATATTTTAAATAGAAAATGTTATATAGCAGTCTGGAGATTGAATTAGAGGTCCTTATGTGTTTCATGCTGTTTAACACTTAATCATAGGCCCCCTTTTTCAGTTTATTATAATGACAGGTTTTCTGACTGTAGACCACATAACTGTGTTATATGATCCTCTAAATCTAGAGATTATAAGCAATTGTAAATAGTTAGCAGAGCATGATTAAAGTTTGCTAGGGCCCTGGGGAGAGTGCCAGAGTGGGGACCGTCACCGGGTGCGAGTCATCAAGAAGCACTAGGAGACTGCGAGAGTACTCTTAAAGAAGACTCCATTGGTGATGTGAGGAGAAACGGGGCTGCAAAGGGAGATCTGTTGATCTTACTGCTGACTCGAGGGGGACCAAACCTCTTGGCCCCTATTTGAGCCTGAGCTCCTGCTTATCTAATGAGTAATTCAGCTCCACAGAGATGCCTAATATCTATAATAAACAGTGCCAGGCAGTATAGTAATATCCCACTGCATATTGAAATACAGAGACCTCTTAGAATTCTGTTTATGGATGCATAATGGAATTTGTAGTTATATAATATAAAATAAAAAGTTTATTCATGTACACTGTAGGAACTCTAATCCTTTCATCTCATTGAATTGGTTATAGTTCATGGAATCTGGCACTGTTCCTAAATTTAGTGTTAAAACATTTTCTTGCACGGTTTAATACAAAATAAATGTCCCTGTACGCCTCCTACTGGAGGCTTGGCTAAAGCAGAGATTACACATTTCCTTCCTCCCATACCAATTCATAATAGCATTGGAAGATGTGATAGGCTGAATGGGGACAGTAGATACTGTGCTTGGGACTCTGTTAAGCATTACAACATTAAAAACAGATTGATGCTGAATACAGGGTCTACAAACACTATAACAACTTCACTGAGATAAAGCAGTTATAATGTTCCTTTAACCCATGGATTGTTGTGAAATGAAAATGAATTGCAACAATCTGAACAAAACAATTTGTTGATTTGGCCAGATATTTGTGTTCATGCTTGAGATTTACGATTATTGACTGTTTGGTGAGTAACCCCTACAGAACAGCATGTATACATACACATACCGAACGGATGGTAGCAAAGGCTAACCTTTAAAACATGTATAGCTATTTATAGACCAGTGTTGCCCCTGATTTGGCTGGCTGAGCGTGATGAGAATAGTCATCAGCAATATCTGCCCCGCTTAAACGGTAGTTTTCTATAGACTGGTTACCTGTAGTTTGATCTGAACAAAGTCTGATTCAGAAACAAAAGTCAGCAGGCTTAAAATAAAGCCTGTACAATACACATTCCGGCTGATACTATGCTACAAGCTGAAAGCTTGTATATATTCTCGCATTCATTCCCCAGTTGTTCACACGGGATATACACTGATTTACACATGTACAAAATGTACTCCAAATGAATAAAACATCTTCCAAGCTTAAACCTAGCATTTGTTATAAACCCGGATTTCTTAATATCAAGCATTTTAATACATGTAGATGAAACGACATACCATTATCCACTTAACTGATCTGTCACTGTGCTGTGCACGCTGTATAGAAACATGCTGGGCTTGTGTTCTCTGAAACATTATCATCTGCCTAATTTAAATATAACAGCAACTGCTCTGTACTGCGTTACAGACATTAATATACAACACAAAGAATTCTAGAAGCTATCCGTATTCAGGTACAGAGACAAAAAGTTCACATCAAAATGGTATATATACATAAATATACATAAGCACACATAAATGCTGTATCTATATATAACATATTATCATAGCCATAGATGCAGGGAGAGAAAAGCTGACTCTCTTATCCATACATCCAGAGAAAGGCTACAGTCTAGGCACAGCTACATAAAGACCAACAGAGAAATCCAGATGATTCAGTCTTTGACACTTGCCTGCATGATACAGTCAATTCAACTCTGGTGGCTGGGATTTCTCCACAGACAGGGTCAGAGTCTGAGGATTCCTCCATGTCCTGCAGTCTGTCCATCACCGCCCAGCTCACCTAGTCGTCCTCTGGCTTCAGTGCTGCCTTTTAGCACTCTCTTTCCCTGTTGTGTATTTTCCTATTTATTTCATACCCTTATTTATCAGAATTCGTCCTCCCTCCCCTACCCCTTTCTCATTTATCTCGTATTGCCTCTCAGTCAACCCTCCCCCTTCCCTTCTTATTCTGCCTGTAGGCACCTCTCTCTCCCTGTCTCCCTTTCCTTTTCACTCTCTCTGTATATTTCCCTTGTTACTCCCCTCCACTTTAAATATTGCTTCTCCTGTTCACCCTTTTCTGCTGTTGTTACTACCCTGTATAGTTTCTTCTTCTCTTCTATAAAATCCCTTTTGATTATTCAACAATATATCTTCCTCTATACATATGTATCTAATCACCACCCATTCTTAGTTCTTCCTTATATGCCTTTTTGTGTTTTTATCATTTCTATCCCTCTTTCCCTCCCATCTCTCTCTCTCTCTCCTTCTCTTCCTGTCTGTCTCTTTCAACGCTCTGTTAGATTTTAGCTTTTTTTTCTGTCATACACCTATATCAATGCATATTCTCCCACCTATCCATATCATCTATCTAATGTCCCTGTTGTTTCTGTATTTATTTTCTGCTTGCTCTATTCTCTTACTCTTCTTCTCCCTCTCCTTAATATGTGAGCGTTCTCTGTCTCTCTATAAGTCTGTATGCGAGAGCATCATTCCTGTCTGCTATTTATATCATCCCTTCTTTTCCTCTGTGTACTTTTCTTGCACTCACATTTCCGTATTGTCATACATTGTGTGTCTCATTTACAGACACCTTTTCCTCTCTTTTTGTTTGTCTTCATCATATCTCCTTTCTTCCTCTACTGGGAGATTAACACGCTTTCTCTACTAAAATTAATCCTGGAATGTATATATTGTTTGATCTTTATATAAAATATGAACAGTACAATGAAAACATTTGCCATAGCAAATATATCATTAATACAGGTAGACATTTGTATTTTTCTACTCACAATCCACTAACGTGTGTTAAAATTAATCCCAAATTTAATATATATCTCTGATTCCACAGACCCTGCCTCAAATCTTTATATATAGAGGTTTGAGTAGAGGTATACTTATCCTAATATTAATGTTATTTGCTTTTCTTCCAATTAGAGTAGTGGTTCTTTAGTTAGAGTTAGGACTGAAATTGGGGTCACACTATTATGAACAAACATATCTTATTCAACAGGCACCAGATAACTGCTAATATATGTTTACTGCAGTGGAATTGTTTTCACTTGTTCATTATAGCTCTATTATCTCTTTGATATTGGGAGGAATAGCTTTTGGGGTTGTTTTTTTTTTTTTTTGCAAATGTTATATTAATGTTAATTACACTATCCTTGGATAATCAGGCACTTATGTATTGGAGATAATTTTCTAGAATAAGAGAGAATTTTCCAATTCAAGACTGGGTACACAATTTTGCTCGCTGACAAAAAAGGTTAAGAACCCCTGATTTAGACAATATATTGGCTATACATTATCCAACTCAGTGCTTTTAACTTCTCTTATGAGTATGTCAAAAAAATATAAATACCCGGAGGCGGAGCTTGCAAGCACACTAAACCAGACGCCATTTCTAATTGCTCCTGAACAAAACCCGACAATCCACACATTATCCCTGATCCTGTTGCCAATCCAGCCCTCTAACCTACCACATCGGAACTGGCAAGAAAATCTGCACCGGTAGATGCCTTTTTTCCAAGCCCAAAAGGAAACGTAAATCCGGGCCTACCTCACACCCTCGATCTGGGGCCTCGAGCAGTTCCTGCGCGGATACCCGCTGGCAGGATCAGATCTTCCTCCCTCACCCCCACAGCCTGACTGCACAACGTACATGCCAGCTATGGGTCGTTGATCCCAAAAACCACTGGCTGAGTGGAGAGACATTGGGTCGCTGCTGCAGAGACCCACGCCACCCTAAATCAGTTCCCGCACCCGCGGAAGACTGGCAGGCAGCTGGCCACGCTTCCAGCCTGGAACAAAGAAGACAGGAGACCCCTCCAAACACACGGGCACTGCAGCAAACATCACCTGAGGCACTAGATGACTCAGCTCCTACTACCAGGAAAGATCTCAAACTCCTACTAGCTCCAAGCAGCTGACTTAGCCCTCCTCAAAACCGAAATGCGAGCCATCACTGACAGGGTGCAAGCCACGGAACAAGACATGGTGAGCATCCAAACCCACCTGACAATGCTAGATGACACAGTGCACCAGCTCCAATCCCAAAATAAAATAATGGTGCTCAAAATAGCAACCATAGAAGACCGTCAGAGACGCACACACATTAAAATCAGGGGAGTACCTGCCGGAATGTCCGCGGAAGAGCTACCACATTATGTCAGACGCCTTCTAGCCTCCATACTCCCCCATGCTGTGGCAAATAGAATCACCGTAGATGGAGTATTCTGTCTCCTGACTTACACATGCCTGAGGACCCCTGCGGTACGTGACGTGATCTTAAGCTGTCTTTCAGTCCAAGATAATCTACACATCATGGCTACACTTAAGGGCAATACGCCTCTACACTTTGAGGACTCATCCCTCACCTTCTATCAAGACCTGTCGAGAGCCATGCTACTCTGGTGCAAGTCCTATGGTCCAGTCACCTTGCAACTACGCAACGCAGGAATACCATACCGATGGGGAGCGGGTGGCTCACTGGAAGTTACACATGCAGGGTCTATTCAAGTCCTATCCTCAATGGAAGACACTCCAACCTTCCTGAGAACTATTGGACTCTCCAACCTAGAAACAGCAAGGCCAGCAATAGTCTCCAGAGAGAACCGGACCCTACCACCGCTACCCCTTCTGCACCTAGAACAGGAGGAACACAGCCTCTAGTGTCATGAACATGGGTTAAAAGAGACCACACCAAGTTTAATTTCTGTTACTCACAAAGTTTGTTTATGTTTATATGTTATTGCATGCAACCCCCTCCCTGACAATCTTCACCACACACTAGCAAATAACTTACCTATGGCAAGGTCCAAGGGCCCTACACCGCTTGACAGCCTTCATACAAGGCATCTTAATCAACCCCTTTCACCAAAGCTTATGGCTAACCCACCATGCACATAATACCCACCTCTTACACATCCTGTACGCTCACAAAGACTTACATCCAATCTAAGCTGCACTCTAAATGCTATATAAGTCTTTGACAGAGCTAAACAATAGCGCATCTCAGCATGTAACCTAGAAGCCGGAGCATACTATAGCACTCCACACGAACCCCGTTTGCCTAGCATCAGCTATTGATGACTCCAGCCTGACACACAGACGTTTCTACCTTTTAATCGTACAGTCTTATCAACCACACAATTCGTACAGTCTTATAAGCCACACAATTCTATAGCCAGACTACAGGCTTTCACTTGCTACAATACTATTTATGCTTAGCTAGTCTTATTAATGTAGGAAGACGTGTATTTCTAACCTGTTTCTTGCTATTGATTTTTAAAAACGGTACAATATCACTGTATCAAGACCACACTCTACCTTGTATACAATATTAATGGTTGTTAACCTTGACATGGCACTGTGTGCAAGAGGGAACCCAACTGCACTACAAAAATAAAGAATTTTAAAAAAAAATGCAAATACCCAAATTATTTTGAGACTGATTTAATTACAAACTCCAGAGCCAGAAGAAGGGCATGGGATCCTTTTAAATGCTAGACTTAGTCTCCAGTAAAGAAGTATGCAAAAACAACACTAAATAAAATGTACAACTATGAAAATAGCTGGGCTACAGAAGTGACATGGATCTGACCATCAGGTAAACTGTCAAATGCCTGCTGGGTCCCGATGTGGCATGAGACAAAGGATTCTTCCCTGCCGGCCCTGCAGGGCAGCACCGGCCCTGAGAAGGAGCTCGAGCTGGAGGGAAGATTAGGAAGTGAGCCATGCACCCTCTGAGTAGTATGCAGGGCAGCCTCAGTCTTCTTGTGAGATCCGATATTGTCATAGCGTTACCGTGATAAACTGTGGGAACGTTATGATCACCAGCTTATCGCCTCTCCCCCTGCAAGGTAATAAAAGGGAGGGGGAAGAAATGTGATTTAAAAAAAATAAAATATATTAAATTAGTGATTAAAGTCACTATCCTACCCCTTATATACACTACACCCCCTGCACAGACTTACACACACAAATACACTACACACACTCTATACTGTATAAACACACACTACACCTGCTGCACTCACATCATTATTATTATTATTAGCATTTATATAGTGCCATCAGATTCCATAATGCTTTACAATATTATAAATTTTTATAATAAGATTTAACAATAAATAAGACAATTACAAAAAACTAACAGGAACAATAGGTTGAAGAGGACCTTGCTCAAACAAGCTTACAGTCTATAGGAGGTGGGTAAAAAAGCACAATAGGACAGGAGATAAAATCAAAAAGTGTAGGAGTGAAGCAGAGCTGGAGGAGAGAGTAGAGTGCTGTTCTTTAGGAGAGAGCAAGGGACAGGTATGTGAGGTAGAGGTTACTTTGGGATGCCATACACTTTCCTGAAGAAATAGGTTTTAAGGCACTTCTTTGCCTTTGATTGAAGACCAGAGGTGAGTCTGATGGTGGTAGGCAGGCTATTCCATAAGAAGGGAGTCTCCCGCAAGAAGTCCTGCAAGCAAGTGAGTTGGCCGTACATGTGCGAGCAGCGGACAGGAGATAGAGCGTAGAGACAGGAGCGGACAGAGCGGCACGTTTTGGGGTCAAAGGCGGTTTTCGCCAATTAGAACTGTAAAGCACTTATTTAAGCTCAAGTCTACCTTTCCTCATTGCCCTAGTGGTTGTCCGAGAGTGTGTTCCTGAGCGTTTATTTCTGGTTTTTGACTTTGGCTTTGTTTGACTTCCCTGTATTCTGGTATCCCTGACTTCTGGCTTTCCTTTATTGTTGTGTCCCATTCTGTGCCCCCCGACCTCGGCAAGTATCCTAACTATTCTTTGGTACGTTAAGTCCAGCCAGTCTAAGACCCGGTAAGACATACCTTTTAGTCCTAGGTGTGACACAATTCTACGTGCTGGATCAATCCGTAATCCTGACA